GGACTGCAGGAGCCGCCCAGCAGCCGGAGTCGTCCCCAGCGCGAGACCCCTGAGACGGCCGCTGATTGGCTGGTGACGGCGCAGGTGGTGGGCGCGCGGGAGACGGTGGCTTCTCTCCCCCCACTTAAAAGATTTTACCCCCCCTCCGCCGGCTGCGGCCGTTATTTCGCGCGCACGCGCACAAAACCGCTGTCGAGGAGCGGGCGGAAAGGGGAGCGCGCGCCAGGGGCACGGATAGGGCGGAGCTCAACTCAAAGCGCGCGCCCGCCTAACGGTTGTTGTCCTCAGGCTGTGGCTTCAGCTTTTTGTTTCCAACGGGCCACCGTCCCTGCCCGCTCCAGTAGTTTACTCACAAACCTGTGCTGCTGCATGTTTTCCCAAAGATGGCGCCCCAGAAAGTTACAGCGGAGCTTGTGGCCGTCCCAAGGGCAACTATACCCCGGCCCCACCCCCATAGCCTCAAGAACCAGGCCGAAGCAACAGAGTTAAAATTGTATTTATACAAGAAACGGTTACACAACGACTGGAAAGAAAAAAAAAAGGCAAAGTGACGAGAGGAGCTGGCAGTCAGGAGGGGCTGCCGTACTGGCCCGCGAGACCCAAGATGTTCGCCTGCAACAGGAGGGAAGGGGAACAGCGTCAGAGCCGGGGCAGGGCGCAGGCCGGGAGAGGCGCGGGGCCAAGCCTCGGGCTCACCTTCAGGAAAGACTCCAGCTGCTTTCCTGACATGACCTTCACACGTTCCAAGTCCTCCACCTGCAGGACAACAGCCATGGGCAAGTGGCCTAGGGGTACCAGGCTCTTTCCCCCTCAATCACCCAACTCCATCCAGAGCTGCCCTCCCGGGGCCGTTACCTGGCTGAAGGGCCCATGGAGCTCCCTCCAGCCCACGATGAGCTGGGCCTTCTTCTGGCCAATGCGCTGCAAGCTGCGCAGGTCGCGGGCTGAGCCCTCGTTCAGCATGTCTAGTATTTTTTGGCGCCCATGGGCCAGTAGCTCTGGGCTGATCTGTAGGTCCCAGCAGTCCTCCGCCTTTTCCTTGGACTCGGTGGCATCCAGGCCCTCCAACTGTGAGGTAGGGAGAGGTGGATGACAGAAACAGCAGAGTGTGCTGCTCAGCCCACTGCAGGCTCCGGACTCCTCTGCCAAGGATAGCAACCTAACAGCAACTGCCTTCCCCGCCCTCTCCAGCCTCTCTCCCTCCTGTCAATTGTCTGACCAAAAACTTTCCCTCTGGTCACTCATCTTACTCTCATTTTATCCAACTTGTGAAAGAATGGTTAATGGAATTGCTGGGAAGGTCAAATGAGTTATTGAACATAAAGCACACAGTAAGCTCTTCAATCTGGCCCCTCATTTCTAAAAAAGAATCAGCTCTTTTTCACCCCTAGGAAAGCACACAGGAGAAGGTACTCAATAAGTGGCACCTCCCCCAACCATCTCAGTTCTTAGGTAGTGATTTCACAGTTTCATTTCTCCAGTGTTGAGGTCATGTTTCCCTACGTGGGCTCGTAAGTTTGTAGAGGGCAGGACCAAGGCTACATACATACCATACTAGTTAAGTAGTTACTGGGTGTGAGAGCTTTCAGGAAGAAAGGTAACAAATAATAGAAAACCACTCTGCTAAGTACAGTATAACACTACACTTCATCCTAAATGCCCTGTGAGTTACTTCTGTATTTAGACCACAAGCAACTTGGAAGAGTTGTAAATAGCTGATCAATGTCCTGACAGGTCATGTGATCCCACAGTCATTGCTCTCCCACTACAGGTTACTAACCCTTACTTCTAGGCTCTAAGTATAGCCTAAGCCTCCAGCTACTCTGACCTTTCTCTTGCGGCTTTTCTTCTTCAGGATATGGATGTTAGCATTTGGGGATTCTGCTTGCTCCTTAACTGGAAGGAAAGAACTGGAGTCATTACAGAAGCTACTTTTCACCCTCCCTGATAGCCACTTGGTTCTCCCACTTCTGATTCCCCAGTTCCCCTCCACCCCCAAGTTAACCTCTTCTTTTGTTGTGTTTCCACATGACCTTTCTTATACCAGTATTTGAAAGTAATCTCGGTCTTGTATGATAATCCATCATGCATTTGTCAGTCTACCCCATTGTACTAAATGCCTGAGAGCAGAGAATCAGATCTATTTCAGATCCTCCTCACCCCTCCCAGGGGCTGGCATACGGTGGGAAGACATGAGTGACGTAAGGACTACTGCTCCTAACCCTCCTCCCTCCTGAGATCTGTTATCTGTGCCCTTCTGGCTGGCCCCCAGAGCCAAACTTACTCAACTGTAGGGGAATCACCACAGCCTTTTTGAGGGGCTTAGCCACTGTGACTGTGCGGCGGGCAAGAGGTCGGAGCATTGTGGGAGAGCAATTCTCTTTCTCTCTTGGGTCCACAGTTTCCTGGGCCCGCACCTTGGCTTCCAGTTCTTTTTGCTTCAACTTAAGCCTCTGTTGGGAAAGGATAAGGGAGAGATGTGACCTAGAACCAATTTTAGGGCAACTTGAAGGAGAGTGGATTAGGAAAGTAAGTATGCAGGGCTCCAAGGCCCTAGAGCAGCGGTCACCAACCAGTGGTCCCTCAGGTCTGAAAGGTTGGCGACCGCTGCCCGGGAGGGCAGGGTAAAGGCCAGTGGAAGCTACCGGGAGACAATTGGAGCCCAATATCATTAAGGGCTTTCTAATGATTAGGGCTGCTCAGAGATGGAACAAGCCTCTTTTTGAAATACTAAAAGGACTATTCAAGCAGAGCGCTAACTTAATTTGATAATTAGGTTTTCCAAAATGGCAACATCTTACATTTGTTCCTTTTATTTTTAAAAAAATATATCTTGATTGATTTGAGAGAGGAAGGGAAAGGGAGAAAAACATTAATGATGAGAGAGAATCATTGATTGGCTACCTCCTGCATGCCCCCTACTGGGGATCGAAACTGCAACCCGGGCATGTGTCCTTGACCGGACTTGAACCTGGGACCCTTCAGTCCGCAGGCAAAAGCTCTATTCACTGAGCCATACCAGTTAGGGCCATTTGTTCCTTTAACTTGAAATCCCCTCCCCCCCCCCAATCTGATCTCAATTATTTTTCAAAGTTAAGCCATGTTAAGGACGTTCAAACAGAAGCTGGAAAACTGAAGGACTCCAGTGGTGGGTGAAAACTGGATGCTGGTCTAGCCTTTCAGTGAGTGTCCTTCCTTATCTGAAGGTCCTGATTGCTTCTCAAGGGAAACAGGGACCCCGCCCCCGACCTTTCTAACACTTACTTCAATCTCCAAATCCTTCTCCTCCACTGTCTTCATGAGCACCATTCGCTCTCGCTTTGGGGTGCTCAGCAGAGGGGTCCCCTGGGTTCCCCGGGAGCCCAGCAGACGGTCCAGGCTCAGGAGGCGCTCTAGCACGGCGGGGTCCATGCTACTTAGTTTCTGTAGGGAGCTGAGCAGACAAAGAGGTTACTCCCCACCTACTTCTCTCACCACCCTCTCCCGCAGGATTCTCCTCACTGTGCCCTAACTTGTGTTCTGTTTGGTTCCAGAACTCTGGTGTTAACTTGTTGGTTAACTGAGCAAATCATCCAGACTCTCTGGGTGCAGTATGGAGATTGATCCCTATCTCTCAGGGATACCAGATCAGATGAGAACAAGCTTTTTTTTAAAAAAATAGTTTTATTGATTTCAGAGAAGGGAAAGGAGATAGAAACATCAAAGATGAAAAAAAAAGAAAGGAAATATCAATGATGAGAAAGAATCATTGATCGCCTGCTTCCTGCACGCCCCATCCTGGGGAACCAAGTCCACACTTGGGTATGTTCCTTGACCAGGAATTGAACTATGACCTCCTGGTTCATAGGTCAGTTTTCAACCACTGAGCCACACCAGCTGGGCGAGAACAAGCTTTCAATGAACACAGGAATTCGGAGCCTATGTGCCTATCCATGTGGAGGAGTAGTCAGGGACGCTTCAGAG